GTAAAATTTTAGAAAAATATATTACTTTGGTAAATTGTTTTATATAATGGCTTAGTTTGGTTAAAATTTTTAATTAAATGAAAGATAAAAAGGGAAGAAGTATATAAATTTAGAGAGACGATATACAACAAGTATACAATGATGATTGGGCTAAGACTCCAAAATATGGGTTTCATTTGTATAATTCGCAGATTTGCATAATTTGTGAATGTATTTATATAATTCAAATATTTTTATATAGATTCATTATTTACAAACATCGTAAACAATTATATATATATATACCCTACCTCTACTGGCGTATCTCATTTCTGTCTTCTTAGAAAATCACGTTTTTCCTTTTTTTTGTTAAAAAGAATATCAATAAATCTATATAACTTTTGTATATGTCTTGCGAGTGCGAGAGTATTTTCCCTCCATTTCAAAAAAAAATTGTTTAGTTTTATTATTACTCTGTTGAAAAAAAGAATGAAACACTTCTTCTTCTTTTTTTGCGGTACTTAACTTCAACTTTGTTAAAGGACATTTTGTTACATTTGACATAAATTTTAATTACGAATTACAAAATCAAATAGACTTTTTTATTTTCTCAAACTTCGTTCCAAATCAAATAGATAATTTTTTTTAAACAAATGAAGTGACATTTTTTACACACCCATACACAGATTGAAATATTTTTTCCTTATTTCTTGATCATTGAAACTTTAATAGTATTTCTTTCGCTTTTTCTTTCTTGGTAGGAGTGGTTTTAATTTCCAGTTTGTTAATTTCTTATTGTAGGCTTGCATTTACTTCAGGTAGAAAGAAAAGAAATTACAAAAATGAGATGCATATAGGATACTTCTTATTCTTAATAAATATTATATCGTTATACTTAAGGTATACAACAGCTTAATTTTTATAGATAAATCATATATCAGTATTTATTATATATATATATATATATATATATATATATTATATAGAAGTACATTTATTTCTTATAATTATAAGCAAGTCTTTTTTAATATTAAGACATTTATCCAAGTTTACTGATAGAATGCTTTGAAACTAATTATTTTGGTACTACTTGTTAGTGTAGGCATTTTAATTTTATATTTATTTGTATCATTGAATTGCCACATTAATTAACAATAGTGTACATGTTGGAGCAGCCTGCCTTTAAATCATTGTTGCATTTGTGCCTAATTACTCACTTGTTAATCAATGTCTATAGGCATCATTGTTGGTTCCCTTGGAGGTTACTGTTTGAGCCAGAAGTTGCTAAAACATGGCCATTACTTCTTTTAACTTATTTCTCGTTTATCCTCGCTCTTTATTCCTCAATTATTTTTTGTTACATATGTAACTCCTGAGATCATTATTTTCACTATTTACTACACCATTCTAGGAAGACTTCTTTTAGTATAAATAATGATGGTCTTCATTTGGTTTGGAACAAATAACATATAAGAAAAAATATAGAGTGAAAAAGTTAGTCAAAAATAAAATTCTTATTAGTTGAAGGAAGGTATTCTCTTTTGTGGAGCTTTGGACTCAAATCTTGTCCAGAGTTCTTGAGTTGTACTTTGAAAAGGATGTTGTATTCTGAAGGGGACAAATCAAAAAAGACTATTGCTGAATTGGTGAAAAAAAACATTTGGCGCAGTGAATACCATACTTCTTTAATATTTTTTGTACAAGGGAGGTCCAACATTTTTGTATAGGTATTCAAATCAAGACATTTTAACTTTTTAACTTTAGTTTAAGATCAAAAGATTTAAATATTTTTTGTGCTTATCTATCAAATTAAAACCAGGCAAACATGGAGGGAGTATTTGCAAACAGATCGAGCCAAAAAAAAATGGAAGATCACAAAGGGTAATTTAACAAGATAAAAGAGACAATAGTATAGAACATTTACAGTACAATATGCATACATGATACATCATCATCACAACTACATACCACCCCACAAAAAAAAAAAGGTTTCAGAGAAATTAAAATAAAAAAGGAGTTGGGGAGAAAGCTGGCGCCAAAGCTGAAACTGGAATTCTCCTGCAAAAATATTAGTAAGATGAAAAAGAAACCGTGAGCGGTGAAATCAGAATTATCGTTTAAAGGAGATTCAAAATATATACACACGAAGATATTGAAAATAAATATTTTTCACTCGTTGAAGATAAAATTAAATAAATAAAAACATATTATTTCTAACAATTTAAGCTTCTAAATAAAAAATGTACATACCTAGTATCCTCAGAACTATGACGACGGGGTTTAGTGGCGGGTGGGGAAGTAGTTATGACTTTTCTCTTCACATTTCTAGGTGGCAGAGCGTTGTCTTCTGAAATGGCCGAAAGTGAAGGCCTCCAATTATTAGGTACTGAATCAACAGTACTCGTTGGTCTACCTCTACCTCTCCTTCGTCTTCTGATCTTACGGTTAATGGGCTGGGCCGGGCCAGGAACGAGAGGCCCGATGTCTTCAAGTGGAGGCAAACGAGAAGAACAACCACAGCAGGCCATTAGTTCCAAAAGGAACTTCATGATTATTTTTTCTTTTTTGGGTAACAGAGAGTTTTGTAATTTGTATTAAACTTTGTATTTAAAGGCTAACTACTAAATCTTGGAGTTATAACTCAGGGACCCATAAGTAGTTGGTTGTTATTGTCTCTGGTTTCCACATCCCATTATTGTTTTTTTTTGTTTTCTCAACTTTCACCTCTATCCTTCTTTTACTCCTTATTAATTTCGTGAAAGTATTTAACTTGGACATAAAATTTATTTATTTTTAAAATACTCAAAAACTAATAATTGATTGGCGCTTAAGGTCAAAAATAGAAAAAGAAGAATGAATAGGATAAGTTCGAGGTCAGCTCTCGAACTTATCCTAAGAGACATCTTACTATTTAATGATAAGCTTAGCAAGGAGAATTTATTTGTGATCTATAACTAATTAATAGCATTTCTGTGATTAAAATTATCTAACTAAGAATAAAACAAATAGTTTAGATTTGAATTGGTTGTCATGACCTTTTTATTGGAAAATATTGGAAGGAGTAGTGAATCATATTGATAAATAGGAAGTATTTTGTTTTTTTTAAAGGAATTTAACACTAATATATAAATATCAAGTAAGAAAGAAAACTATAATTCATTAATTAATTTGAATTCGCACATTACAGAACCATCACTAACATTTGGTAAGTAAAATATCCATGTTATTGTCACATTCAAAATAAAACATGATTGAATTTTATCCAGGTATGGTATAATGACACATCCAACACTTCTATAAATATATATATTACGTGGACAAAATTACCCCAGATGCAGGCAATAACACTAATGTCGCATAAATAAATGTAATCCACCTTTCATTTATTTTATCATATGCTTATTTTACTACTCCATTAATACTTTGGCATTTGTCAACCCAGCCTGCACACAATTGGCCGCTATATATTAGACAATAAGTGACACACCACACACAAAGTAACCGTTAAAACTAATAAATAATGTGATCAATAAGTAAAATGAGAAAATAAAAAAAAAATCAACATATACTACTTGGTTGTACTAACAAAGAAGTGGTACTCAACTACTCGTACATAAATTTATATAGCACACTTTTCTTTTTAATTTTAGAGATAATGAATAACTATTTTCTCTGTTTGAAATTTTAGAGACACATTTATAGCATACTAAGACCCTATTACCCCCTAAACTTATTTAATAAATAATTTTCTAGACTTACGTGGCACTATCTTGTGAATCCAACGCTGATTGACTTTTTTTTCAAGCTAGTGCTACGTAAGCTAAAAAGGAGTAAAAAATTACTTATAAAATAAGTTCAATGGGTAATAAAGGGTAATAGAACCTTAGTATAATATAAGTGTGTCTCTGGAATTTTGAGCATAAATTTAGAAAATACTTATGTATTTTCCCTTCATTTAATTACTTCTTATGTTATCATTTTAATGATTTAGAGTTACACGGATCAATATGGCTGGTTTTAGATTATATATTCTAATAAAATTACCTTTTAAGTTATGTATTGATTCAAACAATATCAAATAAATAGAGACAAATATCAAAATTTAGTAAGTAATTTATTGAAGACACATACCTATCGATCACAATGACACACCATAGTGAGTGCCACATGGGGTAAATTGAGCAAACCACTTGTTTTTCATTAAATGAAAAATCAGAAATGATTAGTTACTCTCAATGGCAAACATCAAGTTTACTTGTGAATGAAGGCAACATCCTACAACATACATTCTAACAAAAATGAATCATCTTTAACCAACTGTGACCAATACTAGTATTCCATCCGTCTTATTTAATTACTCTTTAATTTCAATTTTTATATTACATATTTAAGATAACAAGATTCAACACAACTCAAATTTAAACTAAAAAGTTCCAAGCACTAGTTTATTTTATTGAACTTTGTGTTAAATGAAAATCAAATAAGCAAATTGAAACAAATGCAGTAATTAGGATTAAACAATGAATAAATAGGAGGAAAGATCTAGTATCAAGTAACAAGCAAATGACATTAATTTCTCTTATATATAAATTTTTGAAAGAGAAGAAACATTTATTTAATTTAACTTGAATGCCAATTGAACTCGAGGCAATACCATATATTAATCTCAATATATATGTCATAATGTCAAAATCAATCTGTCTTCACACTTAATACCTTCAATTCTATCCAAATGAACACAAAAGATGGAATGATTTTTGTGCTTTAACAGAATTGAGTTCTGAAACACTAATGTTATGATAAAGTAGCAAGTCTTTTTCATAAAAGATTAAACTTCAAGTTTATCATATCCAAATTTTATCTATAACAGAAATTTTACTTCCTTAAATGAGAGAGAGTTTAGTATACACCAATGAAGTGTCATGATCCAAAAATCCCTCCTTGTAACATGGAAGCCGTTTTTTAAATCGCGATGAACTGATCATAGTTTACATCTCATTGACTGCCATATGGTGATGAATTGTAATTGCCATATCCAGGTGTTGTATTATTGTTCTGCATTGACGGAGGTGGTGGTCTTGGTCTTGCGTACTCGGCAAAGATAACCCATCCATCAAGAAACTACAAAACAGATGGTGGAACAGACAAACATGAGTAATGAATTAAACTTTAATTCTTCAAGAATTAACTTTCAAGAGCACTATAGCGTATCACCAATGACTATTTGTTGGCACCTTGAGAATCAAATGATCAATTGAAAAACAGGAAACATGAGAATCAAATGATAAATCGAAAAACATAAAAGTAGAATACTAAACCACTCCAGAGCAAGTGAAAAAAAAAATTGTGTACATATTATATTTGTTTGATCCCCTAGACACACGAGGCATCTTAAGTACCTACTTGGATTGGATTAACACAGGTGCTTTTAAACTAAAATAACTTTTAAGCAATTTTCTAGTGTTTGGATAAGTGAAGTGCTAATAAGCACTTAGCGTTAAGCTAAAATGACAAATATAAGCCAAAAGTCATAAGTTTAGAGTTAACTTATAAGTCAAAACTGACAATCCAAACAGGCTCTTACTAGGTTTCTCCACAAAACTCAGTTATTATGATGTACTGTTTTACAAAATTCAGACTTGAGACCCCACAGCACCTACGAGAAGTAGGAGTTACTATCTCTCCAGTCTCCCCTATCCTGAAGCAAGTTAAGACCTTCATCATAATTCATAGACAAGATAAGGTTACAGTTGCATCACTAGGATAAGGAAAGGAAGTTCATGAAGCTATTTATACAACGACAACATACACAGAGAAATCCCATAAATGGGGACTGGGGAGGACAGTGTACGCGAACTCGTGAAATATGAGGACATAATATTTTACCGAGCAAGTCCAAGCCAACCTTGCAATCTATATGATAAGTATAGTCATAGATTCAACATAAAACATTACATGTATACATATAACAATTACTAAAACGTAAATGATATGATCTAAGAAACTGACTTACGCTAAATAAAAAAAGGTTGAAAGATATGTTATTTAAGTTATAATCTGTAGGATTCTTGATCTCAAATTTACTAATAAACTTGAGGCCATATAGAACTTTTTTCCTATAAAGAGGACGACAAATTTGAGAAGTTCAAAACCCATTTCAGCCCATCCCGTCATACCGTTATCATTTTGTAAAGAGTTATAAATATTTTACTACTCAATTCAGTACTATAACGTTATTTTCTCTCTAGTGACTAAATATATTTTTAATCATTAACAAGAATTTTATAGATGGGCAATCAATAACTACAGTTGTAGAAAATTTCCCTCTATGTCACAACTCACCTGGCCATCCATGCCCTTTATACCAGCTTCAGCATCTTCCAATGTCGCATATCTAACAAACCCAAAACCTTTAGAATAACCAGATACTCGATCAGTCACAACTCTGGCTGCAAAAACAAAAGATAATAAAATCATAACACCTCCTTTAAACTGTATTTTTATCATAATTTGTGTGCATGAGGATAAGTAAAAACATACCATGGACCACTTCGCCATGTTTTACAAAGGCTTCTCGAAGCCCTTCTGAGGTAGTACGTTTGCTAAGCCCTGGAAAAAAGACAAACATAGGAATCATTTCAGGATCCTGGTGACATTAAACATATACCCAATTTGAAACAGAAGTTCCAAAACATTTTAACTTCCATTACATTGTACTGAACAGGAATTACAGGCAACTCGCATACAAATGTTTTAACAATACTAACAACACAATGTGTGATAGAAGACATAATTATTCTCAAAAATAAGAAGTTGCTCACTGTAAAATCAAGGAGCCTGAAAGCTTCAGTTTATGCAAATCTCCATCGCAAACATTCAACCAATTTTTTTTATTTTATTTTTTTATGACAAGGGAAACCGGCAGCCGCTATCCTTTGAGTGCGCACATGCAATAGCTCGCATTCCATATAGGAGAGCTAACCTCCACTAGGTAAGCCCGGTGCGACAAGCTCGACCCAGAAGGCAAACCTCTTGCTTTCGCTGGAAAAAGGTTTTGAACTTGAGACCTCCAACATGGAAGTTCCAAACCCAAACCACTGGGTAACCCCGAAGGGTCAAACATTCAACCAATTTGACACAACATATCCAAGAATATTTCTTAACTTATACAACTAACAACACGAAAAATAATTGACAGAGATAAATCGGGTTCAAGATGTTGAGCTACAAACTTCTCAAAAGAGCTAATTAAGGCTCTGCAATTCCAAAAATTGTTGTATCAATGTATTATATTTTAGAGAATCTAGACATATTCTTGCTTTTCACCTAAATTAATTTCATCAATTCACTACAGGATGGAGGAATATATATAACATCTATTAATAGCAAAAGATGATAGCTTTTCCTACTCGATTCCTTTCCTATAGAAAGAGTACAATGTTTCAATTAGTTTACATTTTTCTAAAAAGATATTATGGTTCTTATGATTCATCTATAATTAAAGATAACCCAAATTTTAACATAATTTTTTAACATACGCATCCATAACATATTATGCCACAATATCTGCTTGTTTAGAAAGGATTATTCCCATTGAAGGTGAAGTCACTATGAAATTCTTTTTTTTGAAAATTGTATAAAATAACAAACTATTAATTCAAATTAAATGTTATAACCACAGTTTCATTTAATTCTAATCCCTAGCAAACACTTGCAATTCGCCTCTCTCCCCAAAAATCTCGCTTGCCACTCTCGCTAATCTTGCTCGACACTCTTTCTCGCATCTAATGCATAAATTGTGTTTGTATTTGTATAAAGCAAGAGAAAACTATGTATACAAATTCAAATATATATATTTTTGTTTTATACATTTATATTTATTTATATTTATACAAATACAGATGTTTCTCTACCTGTTCTCTTTGTCTTTCTCTCTTTCTCAAATTATACAAATTGCAATATATAATTTGTGTGGTATAAAGCGAGAGAGATATTTGAGATACAAATGATTTATTTCGACTTAATAGTATACAAATTCAAATTTTATACCGATATGCAAGCACAATCATAGATACATCTACATAGTAGTTAGATACATATTTTAAAGTGCTAATATAATTTTTATATTTGTTAAACCTAAAATTTACTGAAACTGCTAACTGAAAATCGATATCGCATATACTCAAGCACCTAAAATGCAAACAAAAATGTATTTTCATTCTATCAATTAAAACCAACGGATAGCTATAATTAAAAAAAAGACCGAGTTACAAAACATAGTCATAGAATCTGCAATACAACTAAAAATTAGAAAAAAAGTGAGCAGAAATGAGAAAATTTAGAGGAAGATGAATGAAATAGGAATATACCAGAAACGAAGAGATTGGTGGATGGTTCAGCTGGTGGCGGCTTCTCAACTTGCTTCGAGGGTGTATTAAACGGAAAGCTTGGGGAAAAGGTAGATAACAGGGCACGTAAACCTCTCGTTGCCGGTGCCGCCGCCTTCGCCGCTCGCAAGGCCATAATGGGTTTAATTTCTTAGACTTTGGGGTTTTACAGAGATTTCTAGAAGAGAGAGTTTTGGTTGTTGATTTTGCTTCTTAAGATGTGACTTCTGCGAAGTCGGCTTACTAGTAACAGTCCAATGGGCTAAAATCGTAGCCCATAATAGGGCGCTGATTGCATGGGCTCTTTTTTAGGTATCATTTGTACAGATATAATCCTTTTAAAATTAGTCCTCCGACAATTTTAGACTCTTGAGTTTAATGTTTGTTCACATATTATATAGATGTTATCTAATATGTGATCCGTTCGGTTCGATTCGATTTTAAAGTTTATCTATTTGATTTATTAATTATTAATTTGTAGATATGTTAAATCGCTATAGATATTAACTTATCGGTATTGATTAACTGATTTTTGATCGTTATCAATTTGATTATCAGTTTAAACGTTAAAATTTGATTTGGAAAAAACATAGAAAAACACTTTAAAACAAGGTGACAAACCAAATGAACCATGTACTCCTATTCACAAGTTACATCTTTCTCAAAAGCAAACACTTTCACGTTATAGAATAATCAAGAATTTAGGACAACCAACCGTCAGAGTAGGAAATCAATCTTAAGTCAAGGACATCATATACAAAATGGTATAAGTATAATTGTTTAATTTACAATCAGTTAACTCATTAGAAAAAAAAACCTATAAATGCTAAGAACCGATAACTGATAACAAAAAAAAAGTTCAAAATCACTAAACTAATAATCCATTATGATTAAATCGATAAAAAAAATTCTCTTCGAATCATCAATTCAATTAGATTTTCAATTTACTAAATAATTGTCGCCAACAAAAGATTCATGAACGTGTGGTTCGTTGGCACTTTCAGTCTTTAATTACCATCTATTAATATGCCATAATTCACAAACATATACCGTGCATTTGGATGTGTATTGCAGAGAAGGAATTTTGAGTAAGCGAATTGATCACTTGCACAGTTGTGAAAGTTGAAAATAGATTCTGCTAATTAAAAGGGACAAACAGATTACTGTAAAACTCGTTCTGAGATCATGGAAAACGAAAAAGTTAGGAGCAAAATGAATCATAATGTTAAATGGTAAACTTGTCTAGATAACAAAACTTCTTACTTAATATCCCACCAAAATTTAGTATAATTTCAGCACTTAAATAGTTTAAAAGACTGATCCGGAAACAAATACGTAAAAACAATGATAAGGTAAACTTTTTAAGCCTTGTCAGCCTTAGCAGCGGTGGCGGCAGCTTGTCCACGAAGACGACCAGTCCTCCTTGCAGCAATAAGACCAACCTTTTGACCAGGTGGTGCATCACGACGGACAGTACTAGCATGACCAATATGTTGATGGTTACCACCACCATGAGGATGCTCCACGGGATTCATAGCAACACCACGGACCTTGGGCCAGCAGTTCCTCTTCACCCTGTACTTGTGGTATGCGTTACCTGCTTTGAGCATTGGTTTCTCGGTACGTCCTCCTCCAGCTACCTGACCAATCATGGCACGACACCCACTTGGAACAATCTTCTTGGATCCTGATGGAAGCTTAATCCTGTCAATAGTAAATGAATCAAATTAACGCTTCAACAAAGGAAAGTTTGAGCGTAATCCCAAAAACATATTGAGGATAAGAAGACAAAAAAAAAAAGCACTGCTGTGGTTAGGGGGCAAATGCACTATAACCAGTTTGTCACAAGAAAAGATATATTAGGTTTCATTATATTGCTAATGACGCAACCACAATATAGTATTTAAGCATCAAGATAGATATTCAAGTCTCAAACAAGCATAAACCTAACGAGACAATACTATCAGAAGCTGGTTCACCCTAAAGGACACAACTTGGCAGAAAATTCCCTTCCAAACAGCAAGTCTCATTCTTACGTGGATGGGACGATACAAACTTCCTTCAACAGTGTACAGACTGTAATTCAGTGTCTCTAGTAAGGTAGATGATATACTTATAGAAAAGAAAATGCAAGACTAGACATTCGTAAGTCAGTGCCAAGCTTCTACGCTACATAGGTGCTTGATCAAACAAATTTAATCAAAACTCGCATCTTCCTAAACTACCAGCTCCATCATCACAGAGAAAAATATTATACACACCAGATACAGGCATCACATTGACACATAATCGGATTGCAGCACTATAAAGACCTCTAGATAATTCTAAGTTACCGATAACAATATAAAGCAGACTTTCAGGTTCCAATAAAAGCAAGTCGGAACAACAGTCACCGAAGAATGAAAAAGCACCATTACAAATAGTTTGGATCCTAGTTGTCACATATCATTTGAATCATGATGCATTATGATGTCTGGTTGAGTCATTATCTTTACTGTTTTATCATAATGTAATGATACAATACAACACAATAAAATTTATTTTCAAGAAGAATTTATTATATGCATAAGTAGAGATTCTAAAGCTTACAACTAAGAAGGTGACCAGTTCTATGTTCAAATTGATACAAAAACAGAGCAACAGTAACCAAAAACTTAACAAAAAGGATGAAAAAGAACTGATTATGCATACCTAGTGGTTCCATTATCGGGATTGTGACTGATAACAATAGCATAATCACCAGAGCACCTTGCAAAAACACCACGGTCACCAACTTTGTGCTCAACGTTGCAAACGACAGCTCCTTCAGGGATAGATCTAAGTGGCAACACATTGCCAACCATGAGCGTAGCCTTCTTCCCACAGTAAACGAATTGACCAGTGTACATACCCTCCGCCGCAACGAAAAGCTCCTTCTGGTGCTTGTAACGGAATGGATGACGGAATGTGATACGGGCTAATGGAGCACCCCTACCTGGGTCATGAATAACCTCCGTTATAACACCCTTAAGGTACCCATTACGCTCACCGAAGTCGAGTGTACGGAACCGGGCGGGGCCTTTCCGGTGGTGAGTATGGGACTTGAAGACGGACCCTGCTCCCTTACGTTGTGCTCTGATCACACGACCCATTTCGCCGCCGACTCTCTCCTCTCTCTCGGCGGTGATGAAGGAAATGATTATAAGAAGAAAGCAAATTAGGGTTTAAGGTAAGGGAAGAAAAAACCTAGTTTCAAATTGGGCCGGGATTCTTGTCCGGGTCCAGTCTTGATTTCGGCCCACCACTGATTTTCTGTCCGGGACAAGTCCATTTAAGAATGAAAAACTTTCACATATAACCACTCAAAAATAGCCTAATATAATCATTTTCAATATATAGTTTAATAATTACAATTCGTAACTACATGTTATAGGGAGGATAGAAGCAAGCAAGAGGGGCCAGAGAGTGAGAGAGAGGTGAATTATATATGTATATTGGTTAGATAATTGTATATTATACATACGTATTTGTATAGATGCCAAGCGAGATTGAGAGACAGAGCAGAGAGGCGAGCGAGATTGAGAGAGGGAGGAGAGAGTCGAGTGAGGGAGGTGAAATTATATATATATTAGTGAGATAACCATATATTATACATATGTATTATATTCTTACTAATTATACATATACAAATGTGTTAATTATATAAACTCAAAGTCAACTGTGATTAATGTAAAATGTTAGTCGCGAGTAATAATTGTAGCAAAATATAGCTATGATGAGTAATTAAATTGTATAACCTTACTTAACCGCGTAATTTTCCATTTAAGAATGCACATATGTAAGTTTAGTTGCTTTAGAAGGATTTCAAATTTTCTGACATTTAAGTTTTATAAGAATCGCATTGTATTAATCTTGATAGTTTCAAACTTAGTATAATTTTATTTGAAGTTTATTTCAACATTTCAAATTTTCGAACTTTTTGCTTAAATCTGGATGAGTTGTTTTATCTTAAATTACCTACCATACATCTATTTCATTTTACTTATGATATCTTATCAATATCTTCTATCGTACTTTAATTTATTTATCTTTTAACTCTCAATTCAATATTAATCCTAGATAGATAGAAATTTAAGAAGATTCATAATATAAAATCTTAGATACTGCGAATAGAAGAGAGTATTACTATATATTTTTCATGATACGTGGCTAATATATATAACATTCTTTTTTCTATGGCTCAAATACATTATTTTTGTATGGCAATATTATGTTTCTTGATTTATATCATTGTTATAGGTAAAAAGTTCATTAAAATAAATGGTAAGCGAAAAATATATTTTAAACAAAATGCATCACAAATGATAATAGTAATCAAATATATATTTTAGTAATCTCGTGATTTCAATATAACATGGACTAAGATTTGCCATAAAATAGTCTATATTTTATTTTTTGATATTAATAGCTCAAATATATATTTTAGGAATCTCATGATTTCAATATAACATGGGATTTGCCATATAATAATCTATATTTTTTTTTTTATATCAATAGCTCAAATATATATTTTAGGAATCTTGTGATTTCAATGTAACATGGACTTAGATTTGTCATATAATAATCTATATTTTATTTTTTGATATTAATAGCTCAAATATATATTTTAGGAATTTCGTGATTTCAATATAACATAGACTAAGATTTGCCGTATAATAAACTATATTTTGTTTTTTGATATTAATAGCTCAATTTTTTTTTTCTAAATAACTTTGTAATGTTCATTTATGAAATTCTTGTCATTTTTAGATAGTTATATTGTTCGATTTAACGTCAATCGTTATTCTTTTAAATTATATCCTTCTTGAATATAATTTTATTAATAATCTTGTGGCACACATACAAAAATTCCTTCTTCTCGGTTCAGCCACATATTTTATTGCCCAAACCAACTAAAAAACAAAAATTCTCATGGAACAATAGAGTATTTAACTTACTTAATTCCTCTTGTTTAAAAATTTTAGGAAAAAATAATAGCAGGAACAATAATTTGTCTAAATCAGAATATTAAATGTAGACAATTAATTTCATAGTTGGTGTGACAAATTTTTTATCAGGGAAAATCGACAAATATACCCCTGATATATCGTTTATGGTATGCAAATATCATTCATCATATTTTTGGGACATTAGTATTCTTGCCGTTCAAAAACTAGAGTATATATACTCTTTATACTAATTGACATATTTATATC